GGAAAGAAAAATAAGTATTGTTGATTTGAGGGATTTACAGATCTCTCGTAGCCATCATATCAGATAAAAGATTACAATTCATTTTTTGGGTATTTTAATTACAATATTGCTTACTAAATTTCAGCAATAAGGAAAAATTATATTTGTAAAATTCATGTATCTGAAAGCAAATGAACTTCAGAACTTCTATTTCTAGTTATTACCTTGGAGGAACTCACATACCCATCATTTAAAACAACGACTGAACAGAACAATCAAGCTTGCATTCCAATTTGATTTGACTCCTCTTTGGGATCAACAAGAAATTATAGTCCTGGAAACCCACATCTATAAAGTAGTTTTGCAAAGTAGACACGTAGTAAATATCTCCTTGATCTTTGGACCTTTTAGTGTTACAAACTATGAGATGTTCATTTACTGGCAGGACCCAGAGATTACACTTTCTTGAAAAATGCTCCAAATTTGCTGAAATCCAATGAATCTTTGTAAATTGTGTTTGCTCCAGGTTGGACCACTGAAGAGTTTTGAAATTGGAGGACAGTTATGTGTAGGAGGAATGTATGATAAAAAGTTGAAAATATGATCTACAGTGTGATGAAAACTGAGTAGGTTGAACCCTCAGGGACAGCTTATGGCTTGCACAAGTTCTCAGTTACAGCAATTTCCCAGCACGTTGCATGAATGATAGAGTCTGACATTTTGTACAGTGCAGAGAAACTCTTTCTGCTCTCTGAGATGAAAAGCTAAGGAGTCTAACAAGGCAGTATTAATCTGCAAGCAAGATGATCTGCAGGCGAGATTATTTCAGACAAATAGAGGAATTGGAGAAAAAATAGAGCGGAAGTTCAACATGCTGCTATTATAAGGCTAGCATGTCTTAAAAGACTGTAAGAATGACTAGGACATAGTGACATTCTTGCCAAAGAGTTGCAAAAGAATTTCTATTTGCTTGTTATGTGGCATGAGTCAAACAGCAGCGTTTCAGGATTCTAGCTGATGTGTAATGAAAAGACAGGGAGACCATTCTTCCATTTCATAAGCAATTTCACGTGGTGTCACACCTTGATTGATGTTCCACGTGGTCTGGGAGTCAGGGAACCTGCTGAGAAATACAGGGCTTCAGAAATTTGCTAACTCAAAGTTGCTTCTAAAAAGATAAAGCACTGCTTCTACTAGATCCAGCTGATTACTGACAGAAGCTATTCCATTTCTGGAAGTACAAGTGTATCCAGAAGAACTGAAAGTGGTGCCCATTAGTCATTTAGTGATTTACTGAGGGGCATGTTGATCTGTATCTAACCTCACTAAGGTTTCACTTACTCATTTTTGATGCTGATCATACCTTTTGAGAATTCGGTTTGTCCTATAGAAAATAATTTGAGAGTTCCTCTTCAGTGAGTGCTTTAAAATGTAGGAGAGGTTTTTTTAACTGAGTTTTTAAGGGACGCTTTAAAGATACCTATTTTTTAATTTTAATTTTATGTTATGGCTCTTTGGGTCTGAAACACATACACCCATGAAAGATGCATCTGTAAAACAGCCTTAGATATGGAGATGTAACACAGACTACCCATGTATTTTCTATTCTTTTAGTCCAGTTTATCACATAAACATGAAACAGGAGTAGGAAAACTGGCTACAGTTAAGAGTTAAATAAAAAAGATTCAAATTTTACTGAGGTACCTTAAGTAACATAAAAACAAACAGGATAACAAAATGAGTTGTTCACATCTGTGTATGGACTGTCAATCTGTAAAAATAAATGCCTGGTCTGTTATGTTTTGCTTAAACCACTTTCCTGGGAAAGAGATAGCCTATAAACATATCTAAATTACGCACAGGCACCTGCCCTTCCATCCCTTGGGCATGCTAAGTTAAAAAGCGTTGCTTGATGATTCCTGTAAGAACACAGTTCCCTTCTGGACCGAGGGACATAGGCACCTACCAACGATTAGTCATGGGAAACTGGTTTAAGCAGCAGCACAGTGAGTACCATTGTGTCAGAGGCTGTTAGGTGTGTCAGTGCAAAAATAGAGTCAGAACAAAATTAAGTTCTGGTAGACTTCTGAAGTCACTGTTCTAATCCTTCTGCTCAAACCATAGCTGGCATCAAAATTAGATTGGGACAGTTATCCTGCTGGCCCTGTTAATCAAATGCCCAAGAACAAAGATCAAAGAATATAGAATGACCCAATCTTACAACCTGCTATTGCACAGAGGCTTAGCATCTCACAAGTTTTGACAGCAGTGATTAGCATCAAACACAAGTGGAAATGTAGGTTAAATTTATATCACTGAATGCTCTGTATGCACAAACCTTGGAAGCCAAAGCACAGATATTTCACATCGCAGTGCCATTTTATCCTCAGATTAACATCATTGCTTCCCACTGATCTCTTCAGCATAGGAAAGATTATAGCCACAAATGCACGGTTCCAAATATGAGCTGGAGTTTTACAGTGCTGTTCAGCATCTGAAACATTAAACAACTTCAGCAGCAGACAATTTTAGTAACTTTCCACCATTTAATCTCCCTTTTGATCGAGAGAGGGGTCAGTGAACGACACTGTCAGGTTTTAAACTGCAAAATGATACTTTGGATCCCTTTGTGGACACGTTTAGAAAAGGGGGGGAACCTTGCCAAAGACTGCCTTGACAGAGTGCTTTGAGAGAACTGATGCAGTAGAATGATTTTTAATGAATATGCTATAAATGGCTTGAGAAGCTTTAAATATTGCTGTTATGCCAGGTTTCAAATATGTTACTAGAATAACACTCTGAAAGGTTTCTTCATGGTATAGTTATTCAGCTATTGGTGTTTGACAGCTGAAAGTGAAGAAACCAAAGAATTCAAATTACAGGCTGAAGCAGTGATAGAAAAGGGATACTGCTATCATGTGACATAAAAACACATTTTCTGCTGAAAGCAAGAAATATAGGAGCTTTCACATGGCAGATTAATTGGTCTCATGATTTCCTGTTAAAAAATACTGTTCTGAGGGGATTTGAACTCCTCTGCTTGAACCTTATCCTAACGTAGCTCACAAACAGTTTTGCTGCATTTGTGGGCTGCAGAGATGTATTGATTAGCTGGAGAAAATGGTTTTCTCAAAGTTTATTACTGTCTTGTCTTGGGTATTTCCTCATTTTGGCTAGCTGCTACACTATACTGAATTCATTCTTTGCTCAGATAAATGACTCTTCTCAGATAACATAGGCTAGAATTTTAAAATTTTAAATTCTTGTTAAATGTCTATTTAAATCCTGTTTTTATATTCTTTACAGTCAACTTCTTGATGTCTGTATAATCTTTTGTGGAATGTAGTATTACATAATTATCAACAAGACTTCAGTCAGTCTCCTGAGCTATAGATTCAGCCTAACATTGTTCAAGTTCTGAATCTGATAGCTAGAACTTGGATAATATTTCTGACTGGATCTGCAATTTGCAATTTAAAACTGTCCTGGTGGGGACAACTCTCATCAGGCAGAACTTTGTCAGCTGTAGCTGATACGCAGTAGCAGTGTCTAGGATGGCTTCCTACCCATGATTTCCCCATTATGTACTCTATTCACTCAGTAACAGCCCTCAAAATGTACTAAGAACCAAGATTTTATATCAGGATGTGTTGTACATAGTGAACATTTTGCTATGCTGTTGTGCAGTACATCCAGCTAATAGAGAAAAGAACCAAGGCATCAGAGCTATAGCAATAGATTTGGTAATAATGTGGTCAGATACCACATATCTTGGTTAATATGCAGCAACTCAAAAGACAGGAAAGCAGCAATCATAATAAAAGTAGTCATACATCATTTGTTGTGTAGGAAAAAAAACAGACATTAAAGAGGTACCATTCAATGCCATTATGGACTAAATGCATCCTGCACAGGCATGACTTGAAACACAAAGCCAAGAAAAATAGCTTACAAAATTAAAACTGACTGTCATTCAATACAAAATAATTTAAATGACACATGACTTTTACTGATTTAAGCACAGAACAGGAGATACAGCAAAGTAAGTTACAGAACTCTACTAGGCAGAGGACAGTCTGTGATATAAAGATGGGATGACAAGGTAGAGGATCTCTATGACCATAGAGCATATGGCTTAAATGGGGAAAGAATGAGTTACCTTTGGAATGAAGAAGTTACAGATAAGGGGTTTAATCGAATCAAGACTATAGAGAGGGTGAATAGAATCAACTATTCACTGTTCCTTCCAGTACATGAATGGTGACTAACCAGATGAAGCTGATAGGAGACTAACAAACGAAAGATGTGTTTCTTCACACAGTGTATTAAAGCTGCAGAACGTCTTGCTGCAGTAACTTTTGCTGCCAGAGGTGTTCATGAGTTCAAGCATGGTCTTCACAGGTCTGCAGAGCAGTTGACCACCAAACATTTTAAAATGCACAAACTGTGTGGGACAAGTGTAGTCAGACTTGGCTTGTTCTTACCTGCTTTCCTGGGTACCTGCTTTTTCATGTCACTACAGACAAAATACAAAAAAAGAGGAAAAAAAAAAATACATAAAAAAGAGGACCTTTTGATCTGACCCAAAACTGGAACATATGAAATAATGCCTAAATCCAGGTCATATTATTAGGCTCATGTCAAATGTAAATAGCATGAGATCAGATGACCTTAGAATATGTTATAGCCTTACATTCCATTACAGTCTATAAATTAGTAAATAGAAAATAGTAATTAGAAAAACCCCTCCATTCTACTGAGAGTAAGTTTTAAGTGCCAGCACTTTCTGCCAGTGAAAACACTGGGAAAGTTATCATTATTCACAGCCATTTCTAGTATTAAATGAAAATCCTGTAGAAGCAATAGGTCACATTACAGAATGATGATAACAGATCACTAGTGTGTAAAGATGGCATATCTTACATGCTTTCCATACAGTATGTTATGTATGTGTTTGGTGAAAGCTGTAAATGTACCTGTGTGGCATCTCAGAATCAATCTTGGCTACTTTTTATTTCAGAATAAGAATGCTTGGACAAGATCTTTTTGATCAGTGGCACAGTAGGACGCTGGCTTCTTTCTGGCCATGCAGAACAACATGCCAGGTATGCTAATTACTAAGTGACTGAGGGAGTTCAGTATTGCTCTACAAGTGTCTTTTGCATACCCAAGGGTGGCTGCTATAGAGTATGAGAGTAGCTTCGTGTTTGTCATGAGTATAGTCTTTCTACTTTTAGCATAGTTAGCAAGATTCCTGACAAAAGGCCATGAAACCAGGGCTGCATATCTAGCCTGGTGGCTCAGTGCTTATGTATTAAATGACTCTTAATCTGCTCAAATCTGCTGAACAGGGTCGAGAGCACGACTTAGTCTGCTTTTCAAAGACTAGGAACATAATCATGTAAATTGCACTAAAGGAAGTGCTCATATTGCTAACCTTTCCAAGTTTGTTGCTTCAGACACGTGGAGAAATAATTCAGATGCTATATTTTTCATGGCAGAGCTGTCCTTTTATTCAGTATATATTACATCATTGGAATTGATCATGTACCAAAACAGTACTAACCTAGAATTATGAGAATATCTAGAAAATAAAATTATCTGCAAGGTAGAAACAGCAGTGATTTCTATCGAGGAAGTTTATCTAGAAAATGTTATCTGCAGTAATTAAATTTAAGTTGCAGTCATCTAACCTCTTTATGAAAGGAAATAGGTTTTGTAGTCTCAGCCTTGAACTGTGTGTACCACACACAGACAGTGGCTATGCCTTCCTCATCTGCAGTTTTATGTGAGGAAACAATAAATGGTTCCCCAATGCTGCCCTCTGTTGAAAATATGTAACTGCATGGACGGATCCTTGTCACAAGGGCAATGCATGTACACCAAAATGTGGCAGATTCTTGATAAAGAGTCTTTCTCTAAGAGGCTCTAAAGACTCTCATTGCGTTTCAGAGTTATACAGTATCTACATGAAGCTCTGAACAAGGTAAAAATGACAGTAGGTTTAGAAAAAGAAAAAATTGAGTAACTTTTGGCAGCAAATCATCCAAGCTGTATTTGTCATCAGTAATTTATTACTCACAAAAGGAAAAGTGTGTAAACAATTCATGTTTGTTTGATTTATCCAGTAGTAATTATGATGCCAGATATGCCTAGGTAAAGGTTTTGGATAGCAATGCTTTGTGTACATACAAATAGCAATTTACTGGCAGCTAATGTAAATACAAGCCAAATTCTCACCTTCAGCTGTAGGAAATTTATACATTTACTGTTTGAAAGCTTGTACTCTGAATAATGTACTATTTCATAATGTTGAAAAAAGAAATTCTTATAGTTTTTCAAAAATCTCTACATAGTTTTTATTCATATTCCTGCTTGTATTCAGAATTATAAATACAGATCTCCACTATCTTAATTAACACCTCTGCTCTCACAGGTCTAGTATGTCTGGTTGTACGAGGGCAGTGTTTCAACATATACTTTAATAGTTTCACAACTGCTGATCTGATTGTTCACAGTCATTCTGTTATAGTAAGAAAGGTATCAGATGTAAGCATGTGTGGCTGCACGTACAGTGTGCCTTTATAAGCACTCCTCCTATCATGAGTTCTAAAGCAGCTTTCCTGAGTACAATACGCAGGAATTCTTTTCTCTGTCCAGTCTTACAAAATTAATGCTATTGGCTACTGAGCTAGATAGGGGCATATTATTTTGTAATATCATTATTAGAAGTCCAGTTAACAACAACACAGCAGGGAATGTTGCTAACTTTCTATTAATAGTGCAAAGTACAAACCTTTTATTACGTTCTGCAGTTGATCCCTGGGTAGCTCTTCATTGAGATACTTTTCCCAGTGATGAAGAAGCACTGAGAATATTCTCAGTTGTATTTGCTACATCACAGGTTATTGCAGATAGTGTTTGCAAGAATTTAGAAATGTCTAGTATATGTCTTTCCCTAGACTGTGCTTTCCTTTGTAGTAGTTACAGAGCAAAGGCATTATTAGCTGCTGTGTGCATTATTTATATAGGAGACCAAGGAAAGCAAGAAAGCAATGTTTACAGCAGCTTTTCACTAGCAAATGATATCAACTTACCCTAGCTTAGGAGATGGACTAGCCCATGATTTTCTGATCAAGTAATGTGTGAGTTTCACACAGCCATTTATAACACCATTTATCTGAGTTTGTTGTGAGACAGCCATGTCAATTGTGCAAATGCTATCTTCTTTCAATGGCTGAAGAACTAAAAGATTTAGACTACTAACTTCCTTCAGGATCAGCAGGCAAACAAGATTACTGACGTGGCTTTCCAGCATTTCAGCAGATACATGATAGTTGGCATTGATTAATCATCAGGTACTCTAAAGCTGAATATCCAGTGGATTGTTCTGAAGAAAACAGTTGGAGAGAATTGTAAAAGTCTTTCTGGGACAGTTATTCATACCTGTTACATGTGATACGAATTTCCCATGCATCAGCTATTCTGCAAGCTGTTAAGAGATGCTTTTACTGGATGGGAGGATGGATGTGCTTTGAGAAGAAGCTGTTAGCCCAAAGTTAAAAAGTTCTGGGAATGAAATTCTAAGGAGAAACATACTAAAGATGGAAATATAAATTATCATTTACCTTTATTGATCTAAAACCATTAGCTGTCTGAAAATGCTCAGTGGTGGTAACTCAGCAAATTGCAAACTGTCCACCAGAGGGAAACACACGCTTAGAAAGAAAACCAGACAATTTGAAAGATCAATGAAGCATCCCCCTTATACTAAAAACACTGCAAATTCAATTCAGAATTTTTCATAGTAATAGCACAGACTTTCTTGATTCTCATTTTGAATGTTTTCAGAAATTATTTTCAAACCAAAAGGTAAATTTTTGCACTTAAAGTTTCCCATGCTGATGACTCTGCCGTTGCACCACATATAGAAATAATATATAATATGCATGCACACACACAAAATTATATTTAGAGTTGCTTTTTAGACACAGCCTAAATTCACTGCTGTTAAAACAGACCAAGTTTATGAGGGCAGAAGTCCAGCTCTGTGTTCAGATATTAAAAGCCCCTTCACGTTTGGACACTAGATGGCTACACTTGTGATGTGTTTAGTACGTTGTTAAGCATATTATGCTGCTATTGGAAATACCTGTTACATTTCCCAAGGGTTTGTGTCCTACTAGGGTAAATTTCAAAAATAACAGTTCTCTTTTAGAGAACATTTGGAGACATCTTAAGGTGCGTCTGAAATTTTTGTAGTGATCCAACAATCACAGAGAGCTCTTAAAAAACAATGATCCTCATCTAATGTTAACTCTAAAATCCACGTTACTTCATCTAAAAGCCTGCCTTCAGAATGATACTCAGGAAATCTCAGCATTTCACCTGTCTGAGATCTTTTTTGAAAGAGAAATCTCAGACTTCTGCTGCAATTCCAAGATCCATCTGGTTTCTTGTTTAAATTAAAGATACAAATGAAGGCAAAGACCTCCTGGAAAGCGTGGTTCAAATGAAGTGGAAGAAACATGTTTCTGAAAAATGTAAGGACAAGTGCTTCAGAAGTAGAACCAGATCCACACATCACTGAATAGGAACTATACCAATGTTGCTACGAGTCAATATCTGTGCAAACAGTGGGAATTTATGAAGAGGAAGATCTTATTCAGCATATATTCAGCATCTCACCTTGAATGTTTTTTTAAATAATAAGTGTCTGCAATGTAGTACAGAATAGATATAACGCTGGCAATAAGAAAATGCTTCCAAAGCAACTTCTGGAGAAATAATGACATGCATAACAGTGATTTCATTAGAAGATGAGACACTGCCCAGCACTTCCTTTCATTGATGGATTTTTAAGCACGGTTTTCAGAAATTCCCTTTAGAACACAATCAGTTGCTTTGCGTTTTTCTCTGCCCAGTGTGTAATAAATGCAATTAAAAATAAAAGGAAGTGGCATTATGTATCAGAGGAAATCCAAATTAAAATCTCACACAGTGTTTTGATAAAGTAATTCTTGACTTCAATGGAGTTACTCTTGGATTTGCTGTTGATCTCATTATACTCTTAGGAGATCGAAAACAGCTAAGCTGATTGGCGCTGGGAGGAGGTATTGCAATCCTTTTTCCATTCTGGTTATGTTGGACGCTATATTTGCCAGGTTTGTACAATTCTACCTCAATATTTAAGGAAATAATCTGTATCACAGTCTTAAGCAGAGCACAGTATGCATAATTCCTTCTTTCAGTGCTTATTTTACAGAAAATCCCGTCTAGTTTCACTTCTGTGACTTGCCTCTTTTTGTTGGTGCTGTTCTTTTAGTTCCTCTTTTAATTATTTGGAACCAGACTTCAAAATAAAATGTTCTGACATCATAGTAACAAAGTAGTACTTATATATTCTTTGGGTAGACAGTGAAGAACTTCTGATTCACAAAAGATTTGAATACTGCATTAACTACCGAATTTCCTAGGGGTTTATGTCACAGCATATTGATGGCACAGCAGGACGATGGAAATATATGTTTTCTGAGAAACAGACTATTTCCTCCTAAGCTTCCATGCAGACCGTTCTGGTGGTTTTGTTTGGTTGAAGAACATTAGAAAAACAACTCCCTCTCACTTTATTGCACTTGTCACTGCAAAAGCTGGTTTCTTTATGTCAGCATGTTTCTAAGGCACAATCAACAGACCTCTCCTGAATTTTTAGAAAAGAGATTACTTGAAGACTGAGCGTACAATAATTCCTCACTCTCCTCACAGGCAGTTTTAACCAAGTAGCGGGCTATTTTAAAAAAAGAGACTTCTGAAAAACTACCTTCATGCTGTAAAATCTGCTAGGTGTGATGGATATGCAATTAAGAGGAAAGCCAGGCACAACACAACACTGTATTTCTATTTTTGCTTTGCATGCACAAATGCATACTGTTTTCCTAAACAACAGGAACGTATGCGGTCAGATGTTTGTGAGCATTAGGATGTGAGGTCACATGCCTTACTAAACTACATGATATCAGTAAGGGAAGTTTCTCTGAGATTGCTTGCTTGCACTGTCAGAATAAAAGCAGAACGCAAAGTGCCAAGGATATTACCTTTCGAAAAC